ATATTTCTAATAATTATTATATTATTATATTTTATTTGGTGAGATTTTTGTGGTCTGTGGAGCCTACACCTTAACTCTCTTCTCCTCTCTTGCCCCGTGGCACCTTGTCTCCTACACTCTCGAACTCTCTTCCAGTAGTCTTTTCCGTCTCACTCTCTATTAGCTATTTCACTTACCCTCCTTCTTGGGGAAACGCCTAGCATCACCATCGCCATTCTGGTAAGTACCACCTTCAAGAACTCTTCCCCGACAACCAATGACGGACTCACACACCCCAAAGCCTTGGACGTGGCCATTCTCTCCCTCTTCTCTCTCTTTACACAGTGGCACCGCCACTATTCAAGAGTTTCTCCAATGATTTCTCGCCGTTTCTGGCAAAGGTAAGCTTCGAAAACTCCTCAAATCTTTATAGATCGTATTTAGAAGTACGATTAGGATATTTTTGAGATGTTTTATGTTGTTTAGACACAGAGATAGCTCGAGGAAAATTTCCCCAGTTTTTCGCCGAGATTCTGAAGCTTTGCAGGCTATTTTCGGCTAACTCCGGCCACGGATCAACCCGCATCTTGATATACACTTGTTCCTTATCTCCCTATCTTCATTTTGGCTTTTGATTCGTAGAAAATGGTTGAGTTTTGAACCTGTTATAGCCCCTTGAAGTTTTCTGGCCACCCTTTACAAATTCCAACATTCTTCTTCGTTGGGTCCGGCGGGTTCAACCATGAGCCTAAATGGGCCGACCCGACCTGATACAAAAAAAGAGGGCCCAAAACCTAATCCACGAACTAGCCCACTCACCTTTATTTTTCGCCTTTCTAGGTTTTAGCAGTTGAGCTTTCATGTCGACGAGGATTCTTGGCAAAAGTTGGAACAGGAGATTACCTTCGATGGTATAATTCTTATCTTACTTTTATTGTACTTTACTTATACTCTGACATCACATGTGAATTGGGTTCAATCTTGCTCACTTGCGCACTCTTGCATCTAGGCACTTTTAGGTTTAAATTTACTCACAGTTTCCATATCATTACACTTTATGGCTTCGTCTCATTTTTGGTGTCGCCCAGCACTGTTTGATTCAGAGTCTAGGTGGACATTCTAGATCAGGGTGTATCACCTCTTAGCCATTTTTTTGTCCAGCTCCTCGGTTACAATAATTGATTCAAATTCAACGACTAAATTTGAAAACATTCAAAGATAGTTTAATTAAACAACCATAAATTTAAAGTATAAACTTAAAATTAGTAAATTATTAAAGGGGCTATGTTTAGCCCCTTCGGTTTGAGATAGTATATGAGTATCGCCTGCTACTATTCATTTAAAAATAATATTTATGTAGGACTATAGTTCTGGACAAGGCTATAGTTAGCCCTTTTTGTTGGAGATGGCCTATATGGGACAGTTTTGGCTCACCTACCTTTAGTTATTTTAAAATATTAAAAAAATATTTGAACTTACTTTTAATTAAGAGTAATGCTAGGTAGACTAAATTTACAAACTAAATGATGTCTCACCAATAGAAATAAGCATCCTAGTCAACACTTAAGTAATAATCCAGTCATCAACTTCTATGTCATTTAATTTATAAGATTTTGTCTACAAATTTAGTCTCCTTAGCATTACCATTCTAAGTAAATATCACAAATACTAAGTCTTATTAGTCCCAAAATATGTTTTTACGTAAAAAAATAAGAAGAAAGAATAATATACTAATATTTATGGTGATTTTGTATAAAATCAATAAAAAATTTACAATATTAACAATATATCAATCATATTTATGCTAATTATAAAAAGGTCAATCATGTACTGTGATACTTAAATGTATTTAAGATAAACAAAAATTGCAAAATATCATTACAGTTGGCATCCACTTTAAATGACACCCATTTTCTCATATTTTTCATATTTTGAAATAGGTCAATACGAATTCAGACACTGCATTGCAGTGTTTATTTTCTGATTCTGATTTTATTGGATTCAGAGATTGCGTTGCAATGTTCATTTTCTGGTTTTGTTTTGTTTTTTGTCCATCACTCACACGCCTCTTATTTTTCACACATCACGCAACTCCTAATTTGTGCATTTGGATTCATACACTGCAATGCAATGTATGTTTTTTAGTTCTGTTTTTACATTATTTTTACATTTGGATTCAAACACTGCACTGCAGTGTCCGTTTCCTGGTTCTGTTTTCTATATTTTGATTCAGACACTACATTGCAGTGTTCGTTTCCTTTTTTTTTTCTTTTTTTTTTTCTTTTTTTTTTTCCATTTTGATTCAAACATTATGTAGCAGTGTCTGTTTCCCGGGTCTTTTTTTTTTCCTTCATCTCCTATGCTTCACACTTCGCCCAACTCCTTTTACATTTAGATTCAAAACACACGATGTGTTTGTTTCCTGATTCTTAATTGTGGGCCGTAAACTCTTTGCAAACGCACCTTTAATTCAAGTGGGTTTTGATGGACACTCCCTTAAGAGAATCTCCACGACCAAAGCCTTTGGAAGTTTGCTACATATCTATTACATCCTCTCTTTTTTTGCCTTGTTTTTTGTTGTTACGTGTTGATAGTTGCAGTTTTCTATGGAATTCCTTTTTTATTATTTTTATTTTATATATATATATATATATATATATATATATATTGACATTGCATTTGCTATTGGAAAGTTTTAGAGCACATGGATTAGTCAAACTATTTATTCGGGTTTGATGTAGGAGACAGAAAAATAGAGAGGCAGGAAGAGGAGAGATAAACATGAGAGAGTGAAGAGAAAGAAGGGAAGAGAGAGACATGATAGGAAATCGGGAGTGTGGATGCAAATTTCCGGCTTCTCCTTCTTGGACAAAATTGCACCTACAAATCACACCTTTGGACAAGGCCAAAAAGCCTCACGCAACCATGATGAATTTGGGGGAGGGGGGGGGGGGAGCTTTGGCCGAAAAACCTCCAATGCCAAAGTTAGAATTTTGAGGGAAGAGTGTTTGGAGAATTTTGTAGAGTTTTGTAAGAGACTTGGAAGTAGTTTTTTGAGAGAATGGAGAGCTATTTATAGGGATATGGCCAGCCCTATTAGGAGAATAGGGATCGGCCCTTTGTGGTATTTTTTGGGTGTAATTTGTAGTTAATTAGCCATTAAGAGATTAATTAGGTAATAAATCCATTAATTGACTAATTAACATAATTTAAAAGAAATGTTTTGGGGGTTATGGAATAATTACCTTGTGGAGAATATAGGATGAGGGGGGATGAAATAGTTTTGAATTTGTTACCTATGTTGGGCACTTTTGACTTAGTTGAGGGATAATTGCTCGTTGCTCGAGCATAGGAATCCTGGTATGCCTCAAGGGTATTTTTGTCCTCTTCTATCCAAAATCCACATGTCATTTTGTGATTATTTTTGGCTCCACAGGGAGAGAATGAAGTAAATAAGGACGAGAAAGCGAAGGAGATAAAATAAAGTGAAGAGAGAAGGGTATAATAGTTATTTTATACTTAGCTTAAACTTATGTGGCATGCTTCATTAACCTATGCATAATTATTATAAGTATTTCATCGATTATGTCCAAAAATAAAATTGGCCATTGATATATGGCTAATTAGTGAAGTTTTTATTGACCTTTGGCCAAATATCCTTAATATTTAACTATGTATTGATTTAAATATAATAGCCTAAATCTTCGGTTACCCCAATCTAATGAATTATACCGTGGCGTGCCATGCCTTATTTAAATATGTCATGCACGTATATGTGCTCTTGTCAGCCCGCTTGTTTGACACTAAGGGGGCAGAAATGATCAATTGGTATCGAACTCAGCATTCACGAGATTTAAACGTAAATTTTTCACTTATAAGTGAAAAGTAATATTACTAGACCGTAATCTCTTAGCTAGGATCCAAAGAAAGGCCCAAGAGAGTAGTTAAGACCATCTCCAACTAAGCCGGCTATAAAGCCATAGGCCAAGGGACAATCCTTTTTGGCACAAAACTCATCTTCACTAAAGGTCTGGGCCAAAAAATCTTGGGACCCACCAGGCCAAAATCCAGCCATTTGACCAATGGATTGGCCATATTTAGCCAGCAAGCCATCTCTTTCAGTTGGGTTTAACTAGATTTTTTTAAGACAATATTAAAAAAAAAAAATTAAAAATTCCAATTTTTTTTTCCTATAAGTACTTAAGATATTTCTACATTATTTCTCACATTTTTTTCACTATTTCATACTATCTTACCTCATTTTGTTTCATTTCTTCTCATTCTATTCACTTCAAACACTCTTTTCATACACACTTCTCTCTTACCTCTTCCAATAATCTTTCCTTTAACTTTTTCAATAATTTTCAAATTGCCACGTCTTCAAGTGGCACTCAAAATATGTCCGGAGGCTTATTATCATTGAGCGACAAGTGGCACTCAAAATATGTCTTGAAGCCTTATTTTTAATATGATACTTCAATTCAATTAACCAATAAAATTAAAAAACAAACTTAAAATAATAAATATTGAGTCGGCTAAAAAATAGCCCATTTCGGTTAGAGATGATATATAAATATGGTTTATCACTATTTATTAAAAAAAATTCTTGCAGAGCTATAATTTGGATGGGAGCTAAACATAACCCCTTTGATTGGAGATGACCTAACATACTAAGATCCAAGACCATAAGGCATCCATGCAGCAACACTAAGACCACGTGGACGTTTTGAGTTTCAACTTTCAAAACACTCGGCATCTCTTCTGTGTCTACTTCACACGAACTCACAAAAATCTAAGCACCAACCAGACCATCTTCTTCGATTCCAGTCGTCAAATTAATGTACGAATTTTCTTAATTAATTATTTTCTTTTTTCTTGCCACTATTTTCTTGGTCAGCATTGGCTGCTAATAGAACCATATCCCCTCTGAATTAATTTCCATATCCAAGAAAAATTAACGAGGAATATCTATGAGGGAGAGAGTAAATTCTACAACTGCTTGGAGTTTTATCTACTTTTAATTGTCTATGTATAGATCTCTCTATCTAGATAGGAAAGAGGTAAAGCGATGTCATATCATATTAAGATGACATTAGTTGATTAAACTGTAACTAATTAACAGAGAAGAGAGACATGCATTGAAGCTAGTCATGATAGTTGATATGAATTTTATAGCTTCGAATATTCTAATTTATGACTGATCTTGTCGAGGACGACCCATCCAGAGAGAGCTGAGAGCTCGGAGACGATGGAAGTACTCAGCGATTGCCAGCAAACACCTCGCTGCTTGACGGGTCGTCAGAATTTGTTGAAGCCGGTGAATTGTCTGCTGCCTCAGATTATCAGCCTGTAAGTTTCACTTAAATAACTATTAGATAATCATAAACATCAAATATATGTGCACAAATTGCCTGTCACAACTTATTTGAATAAATAAATACATATTATAATGTCCATATGGTACAAGAATATCAACCTAGACCAGATGAGATTAATCCTTGACATTTACATTTCATATCTTTACGTACAAGCAGATAAGTTTGACTTTGTGATATACAATAAGAGTGATTGTCGAATCGGTCAACTAGATAAAGCATAAAAGTCATTAGTTAGGAAGTTAATGAAATGTGGGGGGTGAGAAATTTTGTTGGTGATCATTGGTCGTGGGGTAAACTTGGTGACCTTTTGCAAAGAATTTTGACTACAAGGGCTGCGTAGGGGAAAATAATTACATGGACTTATCTTCCTTGAGTAGTTTAGCACACTTTTTGCAATGACTTGAATTCTATATTTGTTCAAACAAAAGAAGGAATTTAGTAAGCTAGATAATTTAAGTCAATAGAGCATGTTAAGATGTCAATTACTAATTGGGTGGATGAGTCTTGAAGAAGTGATTAGTGTGCCCTAAACATATAATAATTACTCTCTTAATCTGCCTGCGGCTAGATTGTTGAATATAAGAAAATGATCTTTATTGAAAACGACATGATAAATTGATTCAAACTCATATCATCATTACAACTATAGAACCTTAATTAATTTGATTTTGAAAAAGGTGAGCACTATATTCAAATTGAATTGAACTTCGCTACCTGCTTGAAAATTACTCTCATTTTAAGAGATTTGAAGGGATTTTTTCCCCTTTACCCTCTCTCTCTCTCTCTCTCTCTCTCTGTCTCTCTCTCTCTCTCTCTCTATATATATATATATGTATACGTGTGTGTGTTGGCTAGCTATATATAATATAAGAGCCTATTAGGGTTCTAGAACAGTCGGTCAAAAGGAAGTTATGGTAAAGGGACTACGTTGGCTTGTAAGTCAAGCGGTTAGGACCCTGACATCATGCAAAGATATGGCTCTAGGGATCTTTTGGATGATGATGTATATTAGTGGACGTGACCAGATTTGATGCTTATCAGCTACTAAAGATGCAGAGGAAAACTTTGGCTACTGGTTTTCTAATCTAGTTAGAACCGTGATCTTGGTCTGTCACTTGCTAGCTCTATCATTTTATACTTCTATAGTTCGGTTGGAAAAAAAGAGGGCTGGTCGCGACCTTATACTTCTATAGTTTGCTAGCTCTTTCATTTTATAACTCTCACTTGCTTAATTAGCTTAGTTGACAGGGACGTACATATTTTTTTGTTTTTGCTGTACGAGAACAACGAACTAGTTGTCTACGCTCAGGAAAAAAAAAAAAAAACTAATCTTTTACACAAAGTTACATATAAAAATGGTATTTGTTAGACGATTCTAATGGGGCAAAGTCTCACGACAATATGAGGTGCTCTCTTACATTAGAGAAGTGATTAGTGATCTAATCACTTTTGAGTGAAATGTATTATTCTGAAGACATACGTTGCATTAAATATTTGCTTCTAACTTTTGAACTTAATGGTATGGGCTAGTTTTATTGGACTTAAGGAGACGTAGAAGGAACGAGTTGAATGCATAAAGTCCCTTTCAAGAAATAATACATGAGCGACAACCTCTTATAAGAAAGAAGCATGCAGATAAATAGATTCGAAGTACCCTCCAGCCACGTCATGAGAGTGAGACGTGGAGTGGTTCATGGTGTTGGAGTAGGTTTTCCAACCAAAAATAATGAAGGTCCCATTCACAAGATCATTGTAGGGGACCACCATCAAGATCGAACGGATACAACTTCATGCCTCATCAACATGCCATTAAGAAAATAATCTATAATATAGTTTTAATAATTAGTTGTAAAACAATTAGGGCAGTCATTAATTGGCTAGTACGAGTACTGATCACTAATATATTTTGATTTTGGATATTTGTCGGACTATATATTGATATATCAGAAACTGTAAATTAATACTTGATACCAAACTATTAGGATAAAAAAATTGTATATATGTGGTTAGTCATTCATATACGTACCTGTCTAACGAAGCCCTCGAGCGTGGAGAGCTTGTTCATGGCTATAGCCATCTGTCCCATGTAGTTGGCCATGTTGGGAGGGCAGCTCAATGAATCAGAGGTTATGGTCTCTGAGAGAGACTGATTGAGAGCTTCAAGACCTTGAGAGAGAGCTTCTTCAGTCTCCTGTGTGGATTGTTGTAACCCACAGATACCCAATAGTTGCTGCTCCGTTAAAGGCTCGATTTGATTCAGAATAATCTAATATCCATCAAGAACAACAACAAAAACCAATAATCAACGTCAATTCTATTTTGAACGTACTGAAAAGAAACTACACCGAAGATCCTCGAGGGATCCTAATTATAATCAACGTCAATTATCCTTCACAAATAATTTGATTTATTGACATTAATAGTAAATATCATGCATGCAAATAGGCAAAAACCAAACTTTCTTGGCTATGATTTATTTTTGCTTAATTATTTGCTAGAAACCAAAGAGAAAGACGAAGATAGATACAAGATTTTTGTATATATTCATCAAAGAGAGAAAGAAATCAAGAGAGAAAGAAGACACCCGTATAACTCTCTTTCCTGCTGCTTCAATTTTTCAGAGATCAAAATTATAGTACTAACAGACATGACTTTTGGGGAATGACACCTAACTCTACCTTTTAGTAGGAAAACCTTCACGTTACCTTTCATCATTCATAATATTCACACAATGAGAATTGAGGTGGATCCATATTCTTTTGCCACTGCCACCGACAACTACTTTAATGTACATGTACCCATGCATATATCTTACTTGTCATTTTGATCATAATATGTACGCTGTCGTACTAAAATATCATATCTCATCATATTCCCTTCACATGTTTCATCGATATTATCTTTTTCCTCCCCTCTCCAAACAAATAGATGAGGAGGGGTTTCAAGTTATTTTTGTTAGAGAGGAAGGCTTCGAATTAACCTTGTTTCATTTTTGTGTAATTAGAGTTTGCGTTGCAGCTAATTAATTAAGCATAGAATTACTTGAGTCTAAAACCGAGTTTTCTATTTTACATTTTGCAGGTAATTGAACATAGACCAATCATGATCCTGACCTATTGCCCTAGACTCCCTTACTTCTTAAGCTAACCCTAATTAAGGGCTTAAAAATCTGGGTTTTCAATATGGTACTGCTTCATGCATGATCTAACCTAAGATGAAGGCTTTCAACCTGGCTTTCCAATATGGTAGAAACAATAATTTTGCCTCATACTAGTTGTGTAAGCTAATTCAAGTAGATAAAATCTGGTTGTGTCCTTTTGTCATTTTCTTGTCACACATTTACTGTTGTACTTCTTTCATGAATTTGAAGATTTTGAGAAAAAGAAATATGTTCCAGTACGAAAGAACAACTAATTAATGAGGAAGATATGTATTTGTAAGTTTCTGGGGTTAATGAGCTAGGAATATCAAACCTTGATGACCTCAGAGGGCCGAAATCCACCCATCCACATGAAGCAACGTTCAGCCGGAGTCTTCCACATACCAGAAACAATGTGAAATACATCAGTCTTGGCAACCATGCCTTTGAGGTTCAACACTTCATCATAATGTGCCAAGCAGTTGTCCACATAAAGTCGCAGCTCATTCTCCTGCAAATGCTCTTGTACTGCAGCTCGAAGCTCGCACATGAGACGGTGGTGCTCCTCCAGCCACCTTGCATACTCCATGTCAAAAACGGCAGCGTCTAATGAAATAATGAGGGAAAGATGAAAATGGGTTTTAAATAGGGTTTTATACTGAGAGATGCTGAACTTAAGACAGAAAAAGTGAAAATGGAACAAATATAATTTTATTACCTGGGCTAATGTTGTTGATACCAACAGGAAGGCTTTGTTGCTCTCCTCCTACAAGTCCTCCTCCAAAGAACATGCCCTACAAAACCAAACCCAATCTTAAAGAAATGTTTAGGAAATAAATCAACCAAAAAAATTGGTACCTAGTAGAGTAAACTCACTTGAGATCTGGCTCTTTGCAGCTCTTGTTCCAGTTGAGTTAGCTTAATCCTACTTGTCTCTAACTGCTGCACATATGCCTGGAAAAAGAAAAAGGTTTAAGGATTAGATTAAGAATACTTTTGAAAAACCGAGGTTAACTGTTAATTTGTAATGGAAAAGTAAACAAAAAAAAAAAAAAAGGGCTAATGACTTGCAAATTTTCTACGGGTTGAGTACCTTTTTTCTAAGCCTGCTTTTCCTGGCTGCTTCTCTATTCTGAGCAAGCCTTCTCAAAGTCTGGAAAGAATAATCACACCAAACGTTGGAAATTGTTGTTGTAGAGAAGAAATAGGAAGTGAAAATATTTTACTAAAAAAAGTGAACCCAAAGTCACCTTAGGGTCCGGTGTTTTGGGTCCTTCTTGCTCTGAACTTGATGTAGTTGGTCCCTTGCGGTTACCCTCACGCTGCCAAAACATTCAAAGCAAAACATATACAACAAAATAAACAAATTCATATAATTTATCTTAATTTTAATATAGTTTTTCTAGTTAATAATTTAGAGTAAATAATTGATTTAATTTCCATGATCCGTACCTTGATAGCTTTGGCAGGTTCATGAGAAGGTCCAGAAGGAGGAGGAGGGGCAGTAGAATCATTGCGTGGGTTGGCCAACTCCATGGACGGTTCTGATGGTCTCTTTGAACCACTACTTGAAGGAGAAACTAATCCCGTTCCAGCTGCCTATATTACCAAACCCAAACGAACCCATTTTACTACTATAATTCAATATTTCAATGTGCTAATTAGCTCTATATTAAACAAAATAAAATAAAATAGACTTGAACCGACCAACAAGAAATGAATTAAAATATTAAGTGGTAGTATATATAATATATACAACTAAATAACGGTTAGAGTGAGATACTTTGGTTGATGATGATGGCTCTACATGCATCGGCTGAGATGGGAAAATATTCAAAGTTGGAGGCCTCATTCCAGATGACGAATTATTTTGATGAAGATCTGCACACAAAAACTAATTAATTCTCACAACTATTGAAAATCATATATATATATTAGAGAAAATAGAGAGATGAATTAACCAAGGGAGCTCTAGAAAAATGATTAAAAGAGGAACCATAAGAACTAGGAATTTGAAATGGTCATGATAAATATTTCTCAGGACAGATGGGGATATATCTAGCAAGGAAGTCATGATCTGAGGGTTTGTTGCATGTGTGTCCGGGTCCAACCAAGCTTCAAAGAAGAAGAAACGAAAAAATTCAAAAAAGGAGAGACATGGGGTTTTTCATGTAAGTTTGTGAATTTACAGTTTTCCTTTGTGTGTATTTGCTTTGTGGATCCGGTCAAAAAAAGTACTTGGGGGGGGGGGGGGGGGGAGAGAGAGAGAGAGAGAGAGAGAGAGAGAGAGAGGAGATGGAAATAGTTTTGTTGAACACGATTTTCCTGTGGCCCAAACAAAATCTCTACTCCATTTCCGACCCAGAAAGGACTGAGGACCACTGAGAGGGGGAAAAATATATTCCCTTCTGATTCTCTTGTCTCTCTACCTCCATATCTCTCTTTCTCTCAAGGTTAAGAAAGAATTATGTAGCTAGAGAGAGAGAGAGAGAGAGAGAGAGAGAGAGAGAAAGAGAGCGAAGGGGAAATGAAACGACAGAGATGCTTACGTCGTTGGTCTTGATGGTGAATATGATTAGCTGAAGGGTTGTGATGGTCCTGCGACTGTCCATCAAGGTAGAGAAAAAGAGCTTGATCTAATTCCCCCAAATCATAAGCAGCTCCACCGTCTTTGTTTGATCTGGTGATCATATGTACAAAGATGAAAAATCAATGGTATTAGGAATAATCACCTGCTAAAACACATATAAGACAAAACGCTAACACAAGAATATCATCTCAACACACCAATTAATATAAATAAATATTATATTTCGGAAAAAATAGAATTAACCTAAAATTATAAGATGACAAAATGAATGATTTAATTAATCTCTAGCTAGCTAGCCTTTTTCACTTTGATGATGTTGGTGATGATGATTATATGATGATGAATATATAATTACATGAAGTTCCCAGCAGGAATATTGGCAGATGATGATTGCATCATCCCATATTGAATCTGCTGCTGTTGCTGCTGATGATGCTGATGATGCTGATCTTGTATTTGATGATGATGTTGTTGTTGGTGTTCAAGTTGATTGCTGTTTCCTTGAATACTTGAAGCCATGAGAAAAGAAGAAGATGTAGAAGTTGGTCTTGCAGAAGAAGCTAAGAGCTTTGTTTCTAAGAGTGGGTGATCTCTTTTATTTTCCTCTTCTTGTCCTCCGCCTCCTCCAAAATCAAAACCTCTTGAAAACCCCATTAATGGCAAAACCGCCTTCTGTTTCCTCCTACCAAGAACATCATCCACATGGGGAGAGAGAGAGAGAGAGAGAGAGGGGAAGGAGGAGAGAGAGAAATCGGTTGTGAGTTGAGAGCTTGCTAGCTGTGTTGATAATTAAAGAGAGAACAAAATAATGGAATTCAATGTAAAGAAACAAAAGAGACAAGGCTTCTCTATTTTCCCTTCTCTCAGCCCTCTCTCTCTAAGAAATGGACGACTTTATTTTCTGCTGTAAACCAAATATTCAGATAAAGCGGTTCTTAAAAATACACTCTAACTCTCTCTCTCCCTCTCTCTCTCTCTCTTCCCTGTCTCTCTCTCTTTCAAGACCAGAGAAGAGACCTGGGGAGAAACCGCTTACTTTTGTTTATTTTAATTTGGGAAACTGCTAATGGCGTCCTTGTCCAAGCGGACCAAAACCACTCTCTCGCTTATTCTGTTCAGCCTCATGTGAAATGACCAAACTGTCTTGATCGCAACGCATATCTTCAACTTTTACTATTCACCTTTTTGTTGCAAACACATCAACGTAGATTGGTCATGGGTAAATTCGAACATAACTTAACTAGTATGAGTATGTTAATTTTGTTGAACAATTTATGGGTATGAGGAAGTTAATTTTATTCAAGCAAATGATTAACTATTGTATTTGGACTAAAAGTAAATGTCAGTATACATGCTTGAGATGTTATCAATTGATGAACACCTCATAATTCAAAGAGTGGGAGAATATGGATATGAATGGTACTTTCTTTTATTGGAAAATATGTAAATTTAATTTTCTACTTAGCCCACAGATTATACAAGTGCTCTCAAAATGATTTAACAATGAGATTTTTTTGGGGGAATTCATAGGGTAACATTAATAATTGGTTAATTAGTATTACCATTCTCAAGCTTTAAGAGTGATTCATATATATCAAATGGAAGAAATTTTTTTTATAGAAAAGTTTTATCGTATTTATTTTATTTAAGAAAAAATAGCAATACACTTTTTATACATTTGAGGAACAAAAATCAATGAAATGGACCCATCACAACTAGAAGTCAATTCTTGTGTTCTTTTTAAGAGCATAAATATGTATTTACGAGAAATGCGCAATAAGATTTTTAGAGTTTCAAAATTTTTTATTTTTTTAATACTTAAAACAATTTCAGTTTCCTAATAGTTTAAGATTTCTATTTTATTTTTAAAATATATGTGTTGTAGCACTCAAGCGCTAACCATTAGAATAATATACATAATAGTTTCTCTTTTTTTTTTTCTTTGATTTTTTTTTTTAAACCGAAGTTATATATATAACATTTTGTCGGTATCACCTTATTATTTATGTTTTCAACGTAACTGAAGTCGATGACTTACTAAAATTTTTGTCTGTAATCGAAAAAGAAGAAAGAAACGGAAAAGAAACGGTACTGTGCAGAGAATCATTTTTATTAGACATGCAAGTTATGGCTCGTTTGACAATACTTCTAGGACGACTAAAAGCATCTTGCAAATAATCAAAACCCTAGAAACGTTTAGTAGACTAGCTCAAAAGTATTTAAATGGATTATAAAATTATTTTTATTGTTTTAAGGAGAAACAGACCTCCTTTCAGAGAGCTATATTTTTTAGAAATGCTCTTAAAATGACTGAAAGCGTTTTTGATGAAAGTGATTTTGGGTTCCAAAAGCATTTGAAGTGCATTTTGAAAGACACACCAGTCATTTTAAAAACACTTGCTATGACATTAGTTATAACTTTCACCAAAAAAGCTTTATGCCTTTAAATTGTTCCAGCACATAATTATGTGCTTTTTGCAAGTAGCATTGCAAGTGCTTCTGTAAAATTTACTTGCGTTTTTATTAAGTATTGGTTCCAAAAGAACTTTCATCAAAACCATTTTCAGTAATTTTAAAAGTACTTCCAAACATACAAGTGCTTTTAATAAAAATATTGATGAGCAAAAGTATTTATAATCAAGTTATTACCAAATGTGTCATTCATCTTGCTATTCTTTTCTAACTAATGCTAGATGGTAACATATTTATTGATAATCGCATTTGTGTGTGTAAACGCAGTATTTAGTCTATAGTAACATTACTTTATATATTTTTTTAGAAGATATTAAGAGTCAGTTTGAGATTGATGTGCTTTTTCAAAAAACTATTTTTATTATGCTTTGGATAATTAATTGTACAATAAAGCAATTGAGCATTTAATAAATTGTATTTTTAAAAGTGTTGTGAATATATGAAAAGCATTTGATAAATTTTAATGTAAGTGATATATTTGTGATATATTTATATAAAATGAAATAAATGAGCATTGAATGAAAATATAGACAATCATTTTCAGAGCCCTCTCGCTTACGTCCTGAAATTGGTATCATGCAGAATATCTTGTAATTTAAAATTCGATATATGCTTGATTGAGTAGTCAGCATCACCAGTCAACTAAGATCAGATTTGTTAGTTTACCAAAACCAAGAATAAACAATTATACTTGGCTTACTAACTTAACCCTAGTTAACAAATGTCCAATTCAATGCACATTTAAACTTTGTTAAACTTAGTTGAAAGCACATATCTATTTACAAATCCTAGAGTCAATGAGTTACATGCAAATTAGCAAGATATGTGAACAAGAATAACAATAATCAGCACAAGAAGTTTTTGGCCGAAAAAAGCCTATCTCTAGGTTAAAAAACCAAGGACTCACCACTGAGTCCAACCCACTAGTGTAAACAAGGTTCATACAAAGCTCACACAAGCTTAATTCTTAAATCCCTCTTTACAAAGGAGCTTTATCTTTGTGCAACCTTGCCTTACATGAGATGAACTCTTTCAGTCTTCACGAAGTGCCGGCTCCTCTTGAGCTCCTCACATTGTGGCACCGAGAACCAACACAACCAATGCAAATGATATGACAATGATAGTATGTGAAATTTGGATTCAATGACTAGTCAGTTTCTCTAGTCAAACATTTGAACGAAGAGACTGATGAGAATCATAAAAATAGGTCTATATAAAGATTTGAAACTTAATGCAAGTTCATGAAAATAATGCAAACCTACTTCCTAATGATTGGTGTTTAATGCATGAAGAAGGCTTGACAGTTAGGGTTTTATAAATGGAGAAGAGGCAAGTTCAAAGCTTTTAATGCAACTTTCTCACTCTAAAATTAATTTATAAACCCCCAAGAACAAACTGAAACTCTAGGGAACAAATATACCCAAGGAAATCTGATTTCCATCATCCAACTTGTGCCAAGGACACTTGTCGGTTGCAAAAGAGATCTAGACAGATCAATGGTCAGAAACTAACCATCAGCAAAAAGGTATTAGTCAGCCGATGTAGACCGTCTTAATTTGTGTGCCTAGATAGCTGGAAGTCAGCGCACAAAACTGACTAGGCAATCAAACTAGACATAGAGTAACACAAATATAGATATGAAATGCACATGTATGAACAAACCTTTTGAGGTGAAATGTGCCACATCTTGAACATTTACTCTAGCAGCAACAACCCATAATCAGAGTATATCCTAAAACTAGATTGAGCATGTGTGAGGTTCAATTACAATATTTGACAAGGAAAGCCAAACTTAAAAGTCCTGACTTCAGACTTCCTTAACTATTCTGGTTCTTAGATTCTTTTTCAAGATGACACTTAGTACAACGGTCTAGTGGTATTTCTCTTCGCTTGTAATTAAGAGGTCTTAGGTTCGATTCTCGGTAAATGTGAATTTGAACCATATTATCGCTAGTTCATTGTGTGAGGTTAAGCCCACCATTTTTCCCTTAGTGCATATAATATCATTTGTTAAAAAAAAAAGAGATTCCTTTTCAATATTTGTTTAAAAAAAGATTATTTTTCAAGATTGCTTGTGTTGTTGACAATAAGGAGTTCCAAACTAATTCATACACTTTAATGTAAATATATCATTAAAAAAAATTAAAAAAAAGAAAAGTATTACATTACTCTTAAAAATAAAATAATAAATAAATAGAGTTGCATATAGTGGTATTCATTTTCACATAAGGTATTAGCTTCCAATCTTTTAATTTATAAAAGTACTTCCCCTTTAAATTTCATCTCGTCTTCTCAAGGTTTTTATAAAGAAATTGTAATAGGCACTCAGAAATTCTAATTGCACACTTTTAAGGGAGTGTACAATTAGATTTTTGAAGTGCCAATAATAGTTTATTTTTCTATTCACAAAAATTATGGGAATTGTACTACTAGTATTACGATTTAGTGATATTTCTAGTCATTTGTAAATAAGAGGTCTTAGGTTCGATTCTCATCAAAGACGAACTTGAACCACATTATTACTAATCCGTTGTGAAACTTCGTCTACTTTCTTACCCCCTTAGTATAGATAATATCGTTTGTTTTGGGAAATTATATTATAAAAGTAACTTTTCTTTTTCCTTTTGTATAATTAATAACAATCTAGATGTCAAGCAGTGAAGCACCTTAGTTTGTTGACCTGGAGACACATGTCATGGTTGAGTTCAATTTTTGTATGATTGTTTGGGTGTGGGACCCACTAATCGGGTGAAAGTTGGAAGCATCTGACGGCTAAGATTTGTGGACCTAAAGTCTTGGCCGCGGGTAGGTCTCTGGGGACTCACCAAGACCAGCCCCCCATCTTTCCTGTGATTGTTTACTCTTTTTTTTTTTTTTTCGAACAACTCCACCAATGAGGACAGTCTGCTAATATATGATTATGAGAAAAATAGTATTGGATTGTGATGTAGACACCCCGTGGGAAAACTATTTTCCTTCATCTTTTCCTCTTTTGTCTAATTATTTTTTTGTTAATATCTAAAAGGAAGTGGAAGTATATTTCCTAGTGGTATTTTGAATAAAATTGAATTTGATACCTCATAAAACTCAGGTATACAAAAAAGGTAAATGTTAATGATTGTTTGTTTTAAGGAATTAGAAGTTGTTTTTTATTTTTTTTATTTTTTTTTATTTTGTACGATATTATCCATACTAAAAGGATATGAGAGTAAGCTAAGCTTCAAAATGGGCTAGCCATAATAATGTTTCGCCTTTGGCAAGAATTGAACCTAAAACCTCCCACTTATAAATGAATATGAATACCACTAGACCATAGTACTGTGTGACAATTAGAAGGTGATTATGTAAGCAATATATAATCACCATGAACCAAAGATCATAGACATGCCATTAAGTCATGAGAACAAGAACAACAATTATAGTTAATAAAGACAGAATCACAAGAAACATACCTGTAGTTGCTGATGAAGATGATGAAGCCATATTGGCCTCTTAAC